GGGGTCAAAATACCTCGGGCCCGGAGTACTCAGAGAGGCCCGGAAATCTCGATAAAATGTTCGTACCGTTTATCATCGCTTTATGTTTGTCATAAATGAAATACTCCTACTTGCACAACTATCCACTGATCATCGTGATCGATCGTAAAATGTACCAAATGTGAAATAAACGATTTTTCGATTGTTTTCTTTTCACAACAAAAACAGTTAGCCAAATATCATTCACATCCCGTCTTTATAAGTTATGAGATGAAATGAGGTATTTGTTGAACAAATTTATTATGTGAGCTGAGTAGTGAGACCAACAGACTGCATGTACTGGACAATTGTTGTTCATTTGTACAGGGTGTATAAAAAAAAGCGCAATCCTCGACTGAAATGTAAATTGCTAAACAAATAATAGACGAAAACGTTAAAGTTTACATTCATTTTAAAGCGTAGCCATTCAGCTTTCTAACAGTGGGTTGTTTCTTAAATTTGACTCATTGGTTCGCGGCTAATAATACTTTACGTTATTGTGATTGGAGATTAAAAAAATTGAGATGGAATAACAAATCGTTCTCATGAAAATAACTGATTTTTTCATTAAAACAAAAAAATGTTGCATTTTAATAAATGGATTGTAACAATAAGTATAATTACGGCTTTTCTTCCGCTATTTTTAACACAGTTTGAAACTTCAAATGCGATATAATTTTGGCTTGGACCATCTAAGCTGACTGACATCAGCTTGCTATAATTTCTGTTTACATTACATCGCAATGCGATGACACTCTGGCTCAGACACCAGAATGTTTTGATTCTATGATTTTTAGCATTCGTTCAGGATTTTCAAACAACCTGGTCTCTTTTAAAATACTTTTAATTTGTTCTTACGTGGTTTTCCAGATGTGGTGACGACAACATTAAAGTTTAAAGGAGAAAATTCTAACATTTAAACCGACTAAACAATAACATAGTAAACTTGCATAATTAAACAGCAACTAAAAATGATAGATTTTACTAAATCTTTTCCTGTGCAATTATTACTAGCATTGGAGACAAGGATAATAGTTTGTTTGAAAGAGAAAAGAACAGGCTTTAAAGTAAGCCTAAAAGCGTTTAACTAGAAATAGTATTTCGAAAGTTATTAAGCACAAAAGATGAATTGCGTTTATTTTGATACACCCTGTATACTGCGAAAATAGTTTCAGAATAACTCATGCATTATTTTATTAAACAATTAAATTAATTTAAATATAAGTTTGTAGAACAGCTGTTAAGTAACTCAGATTGTCACAGATAAACACGAAATATAAAACGTTTTCAGAACCTAAAACAGTAAAAGCAAGCTAAAGTCTAAGACCTATAATATTATTGTCAAGAACGGCTCGCTTAAGCGGGCTAAGTGTTTTTAATAGTTCGGTTCACAAGAATATATTGTTGTAAAGAAGATTTTCTCGTCAGATTTCGATCTTTTAAAATAGGTCTCCGTGAACGATTCTGTGGGTTATACAGTAACCGTGAAAGTTGCTCGCAGAAGTGCAAATTTTATGCTTGTGAGAAAATATATTTCCTGCGGAAGCGAGCGAGCGACGCAGAGATCTAATTTGTGTATGTAGATGGAGATTTTTATCTCAAACATTCTAGCGCAGTGCATTGTGGTCATGCGCGATCGGAAATGCGCAGTGAGCTATTTTTCTGTGGTGTTTCCACGCCGTGGAAGCTTGCGTTCCTAGACATTAAGACATGCAAAGACATCCAGTCACATCCTAGACTTACATTGATTCAGTTCACTGTTCAGCACAATTTCGGAGCAAGATACTGTAGTTCTGCTTTGCATGATGAAACATATGTTGATAAATATTTTGAACATACAGAATGTTTTAAGCAAAAATTCGTAATTTTTTGTTTTAAGAACTTTAAGAAAATTTTTTACACGTTTAGGGCAGGGCTCTTGGTAGAGGGGGGGGGGGACGCTTTATAGAGGGCCATTTGATGGAGGTTATATTTCATTTTACGTAGTGCTAAATCTTGTTTTAACTTTATTTTGTCAAGATTATCAAGAGTATAGACGTTACGTGGATTTTCACTACAGAGGTAAAGCAAAAATAATCCAATTCCGATTATAGTCTGATCGGGTAAGGCGGAGAGTCTTCGCTGATGAGACGTCTTTTAGGATTACCATTAAATCCCTCTGCCATGCCCATACCCGTGGCATTTATATAACGACAAACGAACAACAGGGTAAGAGAACGGGAATAAATATAATTCACACAGCTGCATTAAACATCCAACGAGGAGAAAGACGGCGTCTCTAATTGGTTCTTCTTTATATATTTTAGGCCCAATATTAGCTGATATAATTATATATAAGTGCGGCATTATTAAATTTTACCGTCGTCATGCTGAGGACACTCGACCATATTTTAAATCTACGGTTAATACTTTTCCCAATTTTCTTTACTTCAAAATATGCGGGTCCAGCATTGATGTTGTCCGTAAAAATCGGATCAGCATTCGAAAAGTATTTACGTTTTAGCTGTGCAATTTTACGTCCCCAGGGTTCAAAATTAGTGTAGTGTGTGCACTACCACTGGGCCTGTAAATTTGGCTGGTACAAAACAACGTGATATCATCTAACCAAAATTTAGTTCACGCTACCCCATCTAGGCAAGAGAGTTAGAACAGAACTCCAAGTGGAATTTATAATTACATTAATAAAATAAAAGGGACCAATTAACAATAGGCGACTTGTACACTAAGAGGTCACGTGATCTTAATCATCTTCAAATAGTAGGTTTGGAACTACAAATCTACAATCGGAACATACAGAGTGATGGTTTAAGCGAAATTTTAGTTTTAAAAAACTTAAAAAGAATTTCGTAAACGTTTAGGGCAGGGCGCTTGGCAGGGCCATTTGATGGAGATTATATTTCATTTTACGTAGTGCTAAATCTTGTTTTATTTTTATTTGTTAAGATATTAAAGAGGAAGAATATACGCGTGCATATTCGCAAGCTCTCCAAGAAGGTAATGCAAGAAATAATCGAATTCCGATTATGCTGGTTGGGCAAGACCGAGGCGGAAAGACTTCGCTGATGAGACGTCTTTTAGGATTACCATTCGAGAAAGATCAACCCAGTACCACTGGTATTGACGTTAATGTTATCGAGCTAACTGAACAAAATGCAGAAGATCCCTGGAAAAAGCGAGAAGCGAAGAAGTTTACGAGCGATGAAATTGAGGCAAAGACTGTGTTATACAAAAAAACTGCCGAGTACCTTGATAGAGGAGTTCAGAGGAATTTAGAAGGCGATGCGCCAGAACCATTCAAGCCAGTGATACCAGTGAAGCCAGTGATACCAGTGAAACCATTGCCAGTGAAGCCATTATTAAGAGAAGAAATCTCCGAAATCAAATTGCAGAGGTCCACTGAACACGACCAGAAAGAAGTTCTTCGGGTATTTGTAAGTGACTTTGCTGGACAGCCAATCTATTACGATACCCATGGCTACTTTGTGAAACCGCATTGCCCTTATGTTTTGGTTCACGACCTTTCTCTGGAGTTTGATAAACCCGCCGTTCCCAAATTTAAAACAAGTTATGAAGAGGAAGAGACAGAGATGAACAATCCTTATCTTAATACCAATTTAGATAATTTTACATCATGGTTGAAGTTTCTACAAGGTTTGGGAGAATGCCAAGATCAACAGTTTCCTGATAAATCTCGTCACTGTACCACTGCAAAAGGTGAGAAGTTTGAACTGCCACCAGTTTTAATAGCTTTAACTAACAGCGGTAAGGTGAAAGGCAACGGTGTACAAAATAGACTCAACAAGATCATGTATGCAGGACAATATAAGAATGTCGTCCCAGAGTTTTTCCTGATCGACAATACATTGGAAGGCGACGACGGAGACGACGTGCGAAAACTTCGTAGAAAGCTTTTTGACCTCTCGAATGCAGTCCTTGACCAGGAGATTTTAATGCCTGTGAAGTGGCTAGAGTTTGAAGCTGCTCTAAGCCAGAAGCTATCACCAGATTGCAAGTATATCCCAGTTGACGAAGCTAAACGGGAAGCGGAGGCCTGTGGCGTTGGGGAGTTTAACCAAGCTATCAAATTTCTACACCGCCAAGGTGTGGTCGTACACCACAGTGGATCCAGCAAGGTTGTATTGGATCCTCCCTGGTTAATGAATCGCTTTACGAAAGTGATCTCCATGCCTGCCAAATTGGATGCATTGTCCAGGCACACTCTTGATGTGTTCAAGCAGAAAGGCATTTTGTTTCAAAAATATATTCAGAAGCTGGAAGACGCAGAACTTTTAGAAGAGCTGATGCAAATGTTTAATTTGATTTGTCCTTGCCAGCACGATGGAAAGGCAGCTTTTTATGTCCCTTCAGTTGCTCCAACTATGATACCAGGAAAAGAGTTGGAAGCTAGCATTGTTCCATCGCTGTTTGTGACATTTCCTCGCAAACTTGTACCAATGGGCCTGTTTACGAAGCTTCAAGTGAGGTTAATTTCTGAGTGGCAAAAGCGCTTCCCCAATCAACAAGTCACGTTGTCCTTCTATTGCAACTACTCCTTGCTTCCGCTTATTATGGACGGCGACGTGTATGATGTTTGTTTAATCGACCTCCACGAGTTCATCAAGGTTACCATTTTTCCAAAACAGGATGGCAACCATTTCAAGTTTGCCAGTCATCTCCTAGCCATCTTGAAAAAGTGCTTGGACGATCTTAAATCTCCAGATCAACTATTATTCAGCATGACCAGCTATGACCTCGAAGTGAAATGTACCTGCTGCTTTGGTAAAGAAGAAAGAAAATGTTCTCGTCATCATGAGATCCAGTGTCATTCAGACCGTTGTGGGCACCGTCACTTCTGGAAGCTTAGTGACCTTCAGAGATTCTACGATCATTTTGTTGTAGTTTGCCCGTTGAACAACTCGTGCACGAAGTTTGACATAAAGAGTGTCACAATTTGGCTCAATACTGGTAAGTGGCTAATGCTAAAGGCGTTTTTAGTTTGCCAGTTTTGAAATGTTTACCTGACATTTTTTAATCATTTAACAATTTTTGATAAATTTTCTAATTATTAAGTATGAGTTGTATAATATTTTTAGTATTATAGTGATATATCTGCAATCTGATTACTTGATAATTTCTGAGTTCAATTCGATCATTAGTTGCACTGTTTTATCAGAATTTTTTTTTGCAGCACGGCACTTTAAGCTGTTGCGTTATTTCTTTGGCTCTTTAAAAGGAACCGATCAGTTTGCCAGTTCTTGATTGGCAGATTGCAGTACATAGAAATTTTTAGTCATGAGCGTCTTGTAGATAATTTTTTCTCATGTATCTAGGTTTTTAGGCATGTTTTTTTGTTGTAATACGTAATTTTAAATTATTTGGAGGTCCTCAATCGACAAGATACTCCTATCGCAAAGTATCTATGGACGGTATGAGTCAGTTAATGTAATTGTAATGTATAATTGTTTTAGTATTGAAACTACTTACACGCGCGCATGCGTCGTAGTGTTTTTATCAAATTTCGCGCGCTAATTTCGTATTTTAAAAATTTTGCTCCAGACAAAAATTTCATCACAGCTTGAAAGAGCATCACAAAATTAGTAATATTTCAAAGTTTCGTTGCGAAATGTTGTAAAATGCGGATAATATAGCCTTGCGAAGTTTGCCGTTTTTCAGTCATTTTGTATTACGCATGGGAAATTGACAGCCCAATCGGGTGTTGGGGCATCAATTTCCCGTTTGTAATCTAAAATGACTGAAAATTGCAAATTTCGCAGGGCTATATTATCCGCATTTTACAACATTTGGCAACGAAACTTCGGAATATTGCTAATTTTGTGATTACTTGATAATTTCTGAGTTCAATTCGATCATTAGTTGCACTGTTTTGTAATGTTACGTGGTGGTAAAGTATCTGCTGATAAGCTAAAACGTACTCTTACAGACATCACGAAGTATCAGTGAGATATTTTGTGATGTCTTTACTTCGATGCAGACAGCACTGGCCAGAATGAGTGCTGTTTTTTTTTCTGTTTGTTTTATTAACTGATACATGCATGGTTTTATATTCTCGTGTTGACAGCAATATTTTACTCATTCGCTACGCTTATTCATAAACTATTATTTGCACTACTCGAAATACTGTAGAATCCATATCTTAATTCGCACAGCCTTATATCCCGTATGTTTACTTATTTCAAGTGCCCGATGCAGCTATGGTAGAAGACAGCTCGAACTTTGGAAGGCCAAATGAAACCTTAAGTGAAGCTTCAAGCTCAGGTAATTGTTTGGTTACGGTTAGACTGTGACTATACATTAATTGAGACTTTGATTACACCATATTTTTCTGTGCACACTTTGTAAGTACCGTGTAGTCTAGGACCTGTATATGAGTTTGTATGCATTTCATTTAGGACAGATAATCTCAACTGTTTTAGGGCAAGTTGACCATGACGGTCAACATGGTAACGCTGCCCGAACCCCAATCCGGGACGAAACGTCCGAAACTGACCACACCCAAAAACGACGCTTTCGCCATACTGCTATCTACTAAACCATGAAAGCTTTGGCTATTCTGAGGTGCTTATATTGTTCAGAGATGTTACTTTTGGGGGTAGTCATTGGTAAGTGTGAAATGCCTAGCACTAATATTTCACAAGAAAATGACCATGCAATAATCATAGTTAAACGTCAATTTGTGGCTTGCAACATCAGATAAACAGCAGTGGATTTACATTACCTTTTTCCCTAAATCTTTTTGATAGAAACATAATTGGTACTTATTTAAATATATTATCACTGGTTTGGTGTAAAATAGTTAATATTTTCTGACCGAAATAATAATTTGAAATGTGCCTACCTTCTGCAAATGGATGTATTTGGCCAAGTTCTCCACTTTACTCCGCTGTTTATCGGCGATCTCGTCGACATCCTACAAAAAATGTAAATCATCTCAGACATAATGGTATCAAGAACATTTAAACAAGTTTCAACTTGGTTTCAAGTAGATCATACCTGTTTAACCATCGACAAGGTAAATCCACAACTTTGTCCAAATTCGGCGCCATTTTGTCATCCCATGTCGGTTGTCAACAATTCGGCCTTGTTACTCTTCCATTCACGCCATATCCATTGCACAAATAACAAATTTAACCCTTTATTAAGGGTATTAAAATAAAAATACAAATGAAATATGCGAAATGCAGCATTTTATCACCCTGTAAGATCTTGCTCACGAGTCTTTCAAAACATTCCGTACAAATATCGCGTGACAAAGTAACAGGGACGTGACAGGGGGGGGGGTAAATTATTTCACGAAGATAGAAGAAGGCTGCGTGAAATAGACTAAAAGCTAAAGACAATCATACAAACGTTTGTTTTATTTCTTGTAGCGACAAATATATACATATTATTTATTAATATGAACAAGTCATACAAATTAAATGCTGATTGTTGGTTTAATGGTTTTACGATACTGTGTGGGCTTTGCTTTCATTTCACGTCCCTGTTGCTAAACCACGCGAGATTTGTACGAAATGTTTTGAAGGACTCGTAAGCAACATTTTACCGGGTGATAAAATGCTGCATTTCGCATATTTCATTTGTATTTTTATTTTAATACCCTTGACAAAGGGTTAAATTTATTATTAGTGGAATGGAAATGGCTTGGATGGAAGAGTAACAAGGCCGAATTGTTGAAAACCGACATGGGATGACAAAATGGCGCCGAATTTGGACAAAGTTGTGGACAGGGCGCTTATATAATGGGCGGTGAAACGGATATAGGCGCGCTGATTGAATTGAATTTGAATTTATTAATTGACATTCCCTAAAATGGGCTTTTCAATGACAATTTACATGGATTTTAGAAAAAAATTATGAGTTATCGACTATATATATTTACAACAATCGTATCAAAGTTATTACATGAACTAAAATTATACTATATATTATAGTTTATGAGTTAAAAAAGTTAAAAAGAAGAACATCGCTTCTCAATAAGAATTGTCTTAAGTTTCGTCTTAAAATTGTTCAGATCACTAATTGATTTCAGCTCTGTATCTAGACCATTCCATATCTTAGTCCCTCGGTATTTGAACGATCTTTGCCCGATCGATGTCCTATATTTTGGAATATCCAGATCTCCATTTCTTCTAGTATCTCGGTTATGAATTCTGTTTCGTGGTTCAAAATTATCACATAAATACTGTGGAGCTTTGTCATTCATACATTTAAATGTCAATAACGCATCTCTGTACAATAGATGTTCTTTGATTGACAACCATCCTAACGCGTTTAATGTTGGTGATATATGATCATACTTATGCACCCCTGTAATTAATCAGGCTGCGCAATTTTGGATTAATTGGATCTTTTTTATGTTGCCATCTGACGTATTAGACCATACTGTTGAACAATAGTTAATTTTACTCATGACTAATGTATCGATGATTGTAACTAGTGTTGACTGATCAAAGTTGTGTTTCACGCGACCAATCTGACGCAATTTTGAGATACACGATGAGGACAATGCTTGTATATGTTTGTCGTACGTTAGATGGGAGTCCAAAAGCATACCCAAATCCTTAACCTCTGTCACAGGTGCAAGATTTTCTCCCATAAAATTAATATAAATGGGAGATTCCAATTGATTCATGAGTTGTCGTGTACCAACCACCAACATTTTGGTCTTTTCTGGGTTTACAAGAAGACTGTTGTTGCAACACCATTCAAAAATTCTGTGTAGATCCTCTTCTATATGCAGTAACGAGTGTTCCATATGCGACAATGAAAACGATAAAAATGTTTTCGAATCGTCAACATACGATTCAAGACTACAACTCTTGGGAACTGAAGATAAACTATCTGTGTATATATTAAATAAAAACGGCGATAGAACAGAGCCTTGAGGAATTCCGTACGACAATGCAACAGGCGCCGAAGAGGTAGTTCCAATTCTAACATACTGCCATCTGTCAGACAAGTAACTTTCAAACC